TTAGATAAAAAAAAAAAAAAAAAAAAAATAGAGAGAGGAAGACAAGAGAGGATGCAACAGGCTTTTACACATAGTAGAATCTGACATTTCTAGGCTTCTCTGGGAGTGTGAATGCAGAAATACAGTATTTTTCTCCCCCTAAAAAAACACTGCATAAAACATATCTATCAATAAATTTACTTGTTAAAAATGATCCCATATCTAAGTCAAAATCTATGGGAATGGGGCTTGAGAAAAAAGTATTCTAAAAAGCAGGCCAGGTAATTATGAGACACTCAAATGTTTGAGAAGAAGAACACTGCATGTGTGTAGATGGTAGGAAGGCAGTGGCTTTGTGGTCTCTATATCCATGTAGTATATTTCCTCCTGGATAGAAACTTCTCATGACATAAAAACCTTGTCCATTATAGGGTCAGGGTTTCCACTGACAAAAATGCTTTGCATGAAACCTAGCCAAACTTAGGACACAGGGAACATGCCACGTGGGGCTTATGTTCTGCCAAGAGGCCTACTTCAGCATCCAAAACGCCTGGCAGTTGTCAGAACTTGCAAGGGGAATTTTGTTTACTTTGTGAAATGTCCAGTAGGTTCCAAGGGTCATTTAGGAATACTGTCACACTGTTGTCGGGGCAGATACAGTGTTTGACTTAAATGCATTCACTGAAGAGAACACTGTGATCTCGGTACTCAGTTTATATCTGTGGTCAACTAGCAAAAGCCCTTACATTGTGAAATACCAGTAGAAAAAATGTCATGTTATTTAATGCTATTTATATGTTCTCTAAATATCTATTATCTGAGATCAGCTATATAAAGCACTATATGTGATATTATATTACATTGTTAATTATGTCCAAGAGTGTCAACTATTGACTTATGGTGAAATAAACATTTTAGATAATATAAAAACTGTAATGAAATAAAAAATTACTTCTCAGGATTGTTTAATAAAGATCAAGGACTTGATGATCAATAATAACAAGAACACCTAGGTTTAGGAATAGTTTGAACTAATATTTACAAAATTTCAACATTATTCACATAGAGCCACCTTTATTTTATATCTGATCACCCTCAACTCCAAGCTAGATGATGTGGCCATTTCATGGGAGAGTCCTAGATAGTCAGAGGAGTCCAGTGAGAGTCTGAGAAAACAACAAGCAGATGCTTCAAGGCGAAGTGGCAGACACCAGGGCAGACACCTGCCAGAAGCAAGAAAAGGGACAGGGGGCAGAAGGCAGAAGTGGCAGACACAAATGGTGACAAACGGCAGCGAGAAGCAAGGTGAGAATGTGGAAGAGGGGTAAAACTTGCTTGCGTGATAGGTGCAATATTCAGTCGTACTTAACAAGAAGGAAATACAAGCATATACGCATCTATAACAAAAGATTAACTTTAGTAAATTCTTAGTCTTATAATTTTTTACAAGATGCTTCAATTAATTCATGTGTTCATCAAAACTCATGGAATATAGAAAAATTAGAGTATAATAAACATAGCAGTACACTGATATCGCTGTCGCAACAGGACAACAAATGTAACTCTCCTAGTCTCTCTCCTGGGGTCTCGGAAAGCTGCCACAGGATAAACAGGTGTTAGGCCTGATGGGCTCAATGCCTCCGTTTCACAGAGGCTGTACTGTTTACTGGTAGCCGGAGCGATCGCTTCCTAAACCTGGGCGCATTGGGCCTGACACAGCAGTTCTGTCGTATGCTGCGCCCTGCACTGGGAATGCTTTCGTCTACGAGTCAGCAGCCCTTCTTAGCCACGAATGCCACCTGTGGCCTTTGGGATGCCCGAGGCCAGAGGAAGAGAAAGAGAAAGAAGAAAGGGCTAAGAAAGACCGTTTATGAGGAGGAAAGCAGTTCTTCGTGTGGTGAGTAGGATGAAGCATAACCGACTCTAGACATTGTGTACTGCCCACCGGGACAACCCATTCAACATGTGGGTCTCACCCTTCATCTTATAGAACCTTTCCTCGTTCACCTCACGTGGGCCACCCGCTTCTCGTCATATCTGAAGTGAATACCTCTCTTCTTATGAAAATGACCAATTAAGAGCGCCTATTCTCTGATAAGAACTCCTGCCCTGAGCGCTTGTTGCTCGATAGCCCAGCCTACACCTGTTATTTGATTTCAGTAAGATCTCTACTTTCTCTCTTTACATCAACACTCTCCCTGTCTTTTCAAGACACTTATATTACAGATTATCCCTTCTCTCACCTACATCTTCAGTCTGTCCTTCTTTACTAGAGATTAAACATGCTCAAGAATCTTTTCCCTTAAACAAAATAAAAAACAACACAAAGTCGTTCTTCACTTCATGCCTGCTTCTGGTCACAACTCGCATCCTTCCACCTCGCAGCTGAATCGGCGAAGGAGCCGGCACTTCCCCTTCCCACTTACTCACTTCCTGGTCACTCCTCCTTCCGCACCCACCTGCTTTCAGCCTCTACTTTGCCATTCAAAGGGCTCCATCACGACACTCAGCAGCAGCAGCAGTCCATACTGTGACTGAGCCACCACAGCATCACCTTCAGCAGCACTGGGCAGCGCTGATAACTGCCTCCTTACTGAAGCAGTTTCTGTGGCCTCTGTTACCAGCACACTCTCCTGGACTGCCTAGGTCTCTAGTTGCTCCTTCTTGGTCTGCTTTCTCAGCTCTGCTCCCTTTATCCCGCTTTAAAAAGCTGTGGAGTTCCGCAGGACCTGATCTAAAGCTGAGTTCTATGTTCCTTTCCTTAGGTGATTTCATTCACTCTCCTGGCTGCAAAGATCACTCATGCCAATGACTGAATTTTTTTTTTATCACCAACTCCATTTTGCTGGGTAGTTGTACTTGAATGTCTTAGGCACATCAAAGATAGTATGTCTAAATGTACTCCTCTTCCAAATACCTTAATATAGTAACTGCTCCATTTTCCACCTGATTTTTCACATCAGAAACCAAGGGGTCACCTATGAAATCTCATCAACCCCTACAACATTCTATCTTACTAATCAACTTTACCCAAAATCTCCCTTAGGTACATCCACTTCTTTCCACCTCCACTGCCACCAATGTGATCAAAGTCACCACGACTACTGCTCCTAAACTGGTCTACAAATTTTCTCTATTATTTTCTAGACAGCAATGTGACTGATATTTTCAGTTTTTACTCAAATAACAGTAGGAATAAACAGCAATTAGATATTCTTTAATTCAAGTATAGTGTTTTTGGGAGGGGGCATCCTAACAACTGCCTCAAATTCTAACATCTTAATTGAAACTGCCTAAGTGGCAATTTCAACATGTAGTTGATAATTCTAGCCCAAAATACAATCCTTAAAGATAAGTAAGAGAACATCAAGAGCCCAGAGGAGAAGGAATTAAGGAAAAAAACTCTATCACCTCTTGCTTAAGAGTGCGCTCCACCATTCTCTGGACTACTCTGTCTGGCCCATGCTACATTTGTGCATTTATCTGTCCTTCATCTAAGTTTGATTAGGGGGCAAAAACCATGTTTAAAAAAAAATTAAAAAAAGAGTCTAGTACAGGCATTCATAAATGTCCCTCAGACAGAAAGTCCAATTACAGATCCTGTTTGGATTTCAAATTATAGTTACTCTCTTAAAATTCAGAATGAAGCATGGGCGAAAACTTAGGAAGATAAAACCAAGGTTAGGCCGCACCCTGAAGTAGCAATCCATGCCGTCGGAAAGAGCACTAACATCAGTAACCAATCCATCTCCTCCTCCGGCTCGGTTGGGCACACCCTCTTTTCCTGATATCCAGGGCTAAATGAAGGAATGAGGAGAGAGCTGTCTTTAAATAAACCTCTAATTTAACCAGAGCTCTATGTGTAGTAGACAGAAAATACCAGGGAACTGGACTTCCCAGAAGGTGCTTTCAGCCACAGTGGGCATGCCTCCTGCTGACCGTGATGGAGAGGGCGTTCTTGGGCGGTGCTCCCCCCACAGGAGAGGGTAGATGGAGAAGCCCAGCCTTTAGGGCAGCATGTCCACAGACACAGACAACAGCGGTGTCTACACATTCACATCCTTAGTGTGATTTGATTTTCCCGTTGCCTTATGTGTCTATGTGTTCTTAACCTACTTCACCTTCACAGGGATGTCTTCCTCCTGGCTGGCTCTCTCTGAGGTAAAGACGTAGGAGATTTCTTTGTGAGATGTGTTCTGGCGGCAGATGGCACACTTAATGGAGCTTCTGTGGGAGCCTACGCTGTACTGTTCAATAATAATTGAAGTGCATTCATTACAGAAACAGTGCCCACAGGTCAGGACGGCCCACTGGAAAAGAAAATACAGACCATGCCTCAGGGAGATGCTACCAAAGATGCTGTTCAATGCACACATACGTTAAAAGGAGGAGCCATAACTTCACTTCCTAAATACTTCATGATATTAATATACTTTAAGTCATAAAAGCTAACTTGTACACTTAAACGAACTATCTTTTAAGTCAGTCAGAATAAGCTTTCAGTCTTTACTTCTGCTCACCCTACCAGTGAGCACACTGTTATCTGGTAAGAAGTTGGTGTTCTCATTTCAGTCTAGGAAGAATGCGTGTCACCCCTTCAGCACCCTAAGGCAGATATAATGCAGGGTCTACGAACAATGTTAATCTGGAGGTAATATCATACTCAATATAGTCCATACAACTTTTAAACAGACTGACATTTTCACATGTTAAAGCATTTATTATATAGAAAATAAGATGGTCTAGTATCTCAGATTTATTTTAAAAGTGGTACTGGATACATTAAAAAAAAAATCCCCAATATACCGAAAAATATATTTTTGAAAACCCCCTTATATTTCAAGAAATGCACAATAATCTTTTCTGGAGCATATTATAGGGACTCCTTCCCTTTTTGGCAGTTGGGGGAGTGTAGAAGAGCATTAGTTTTAATCGAGGTGTCAGTTCTAAAAGCTCTGACATCGTATGCTAATTATTTAAGCTTTTCGCCTGATAAGAACCAACAATAATGAGAAGAACAGAATGGTGCTGTGAGTGACGGGCTCCTAAGCCCTAAGCTATGATGTGTATGAACTTGAATGGAAAGATGGTGTGTGGCTGGGCCTTCCCCAGGTACTTTGCAGGATGGACTAAAAAGCTCCTTGGGAAAGAACCCACACTAAAGGCAGGGAAAATGCGCTCTCTAAGCTGTTCTAAAACATTGACTGGGAAGGAGGGGTACTCAGGGCTTTCCTGGATGCAGTTCGTGCTGCTCTCCAGCTGCACCGCTGCGCTCAAGGACTGTGCCCGAGTCCCCAGGAGTGGAGGGTGCAGGAAGATGAAAGCACTGTTTCAGTGGCATTTCTGTAGACAGGGCAGCACTGTTCTGTACCCTGTGTACCTTTAGTGCCACGGGGGATGAAGGGCACTTCCTCTATGTGAGAGGACTTGTGCAGATTGTGAGAGCTCAGAATGGACAAGCTGAGGGGCAAGACAGGTCCATCTGCAACGTAGGAGGAACCAGAGTCATCTGGCACCAGAGCATGAGGAGCGACAGGAAGTTGACGGAAGTGGCCTAAACAGAAGAATAGACAAATAGCAATGCCTTTGAAAACTGTGAAGTGTTCTATAAACGCATGTGATGTTTATTATAATTTCACCTGTTTTCCCAGCTGCCGGGCACAGATTGGACAAGGTTCAGGATTAACACCGCCTGACGTTTTGTCTTGAGACTATCCAAGAGAGAGGAATTTAAAACTATGTTAGTTACATTTTAAAATGGGATACATGTTTTACAACTCATTTATTGAAGTAATAATTTACATATTATTACCTAACACTATCATTCCTGGGATTTACAAATAACATTTATTTAGGAAGTGAACAAAAGAATGGAAACAATTTTATTATAGTTTGTTAAAATTATATTACTGTAGTTGTGATTACCATAGAAGGCAAAATGAGAAGAAAAATATAATTAGCTAAAGTCTCAAGTTTTACTTTCAAGCTAGATTCTGTTATAAAGAAATTACATATTTCATATGTCTGTTTAGCATGGGCTCACAGACATGGGAAGAGGCAGCATTTATTTCCATAACTCCTTATTAATACTGGTTTCTTTTCTCAGAATCCTTTTTCTAATCTCATTAAGGCAAAGCAAATAACTAGAAGCTAGAAATATTATTGATCTGAGACCTAACTATGCCTGGGAATTATGTTGAAGTATAATAGCTTTTCAAAATCTCCTTAAAACTATTTCAAAAATTAACAGCTTCAAAAAAAGTCATCAAATGGGCAGGTTTTCAAAATGAAGAAAACATAAAGGATCACTAAAGTTTTTAAGTCTGTGGTTTCACTAACCAAGTAGTTTTAAAAAAATTGTTCTTGATTATCCTTGACTCTCTTAGCAACTTTTAAATATACAATACACTATCAACTACAGTCACCATGTGGTTATCCCTAGCACTTATTTATTTTATAACTGGAAGTTTGTATCTTTTGACTCCCTTCATCCATTTCTTTCACCCATCTCCATAACTGCCATCTCTGGCAACCTTCAATCAGCTGTCTGTATCTACAAGCTTGATATTCTGGGTTTTTTGGTGTGTTTTTTTTTGTTTTATTTTATTAGATTCCACATAAAATTGAGATCATATAGTATTTGTCTTTTTCTGTCTTACTTTACTTAGCATAATGCCCTCAAAGTCCATCTATGCTGTTGCAAATGGCAAGATTTCATTCTTTTTTATGGCTGAATAATACTCCACCTTCTTATCTATTCATCTGTCAGTGGACACTTACGTTGTTTTCACATCTTGGTGACTACAGACGATGGCTCGTCATTACCTGCTTCTCCTATAAAGTAGTAGAACTCCTCAACAAGTAGTAGACTCTTTATAAAAGAGTCTATGCGGTTGCCTAGAATTATTCAGAAAATTTCTTCTGGAGACCTTTGTTCTTTGGAATCTCACTGGAACTTTACCAGTATCTAACAGTGAAAAAAGCTGATTAACAATATAACATGTTAATCTTCAAGCCTGTAGTACATTAAATGAAGACCATTCTGCTCTACGTGATTTATTTACATTTAATCTCTCAAGTTTGGTTAAAACACTAACATCTTATTAATCACTGCTTGATCTAGTGCCTATGATATGTCCACATCAAATCTCAAAATCCCTTGAGACCAGGGACCAAATCTGTCTATCTCAAACTTCTAGTACAATGCATGTACATGGCAGGTGCTCAATATATATTTGCTGACTGCCAGAAAAATTAATTATTTTAAAAATTTGATAGGTTCATTATCTTTTATTTCAAATAAACATGATCACAAAAAATTGGGATTATATTCCCTTTGTAATTTTAGTTATATTTTTCATCTCAACTTTCTGACATGAGCATTTTATTTTACTTATTCACTGAAAACACCATTTAAAATACTCAGTCATGTCATGAGAATAACCCATAATTTATACTTTACACTGTTCTGTACTGTATAGTGCACATCTTTATATTATCTGTGTAATATGCTTTCTACAGATAATCATCTTCTTTTGTGTGTGTGTAGCTATTGTAGACGTAGCTAGCATTCTGACTCAAATACTAACAAAAACAAATAAAACATTGATTTAAAAAACCCCTATATCATTATGGGACTAAGTTTAAATGGAAAGAGTCACTAATGTGGTTTATTGATAAGTACAGAATAGGAAAAAGTAGCATCTTATAAAACAATACCTTCTCCAAGTTAGTTAGGTAAAGAAGCTGCCCAAGTTTTTTCTGAAGCTGTGATGTAGCAACAGCTTTATCATTTAGTAGCTTTATCCGATTTTGCTCTACCTAAAAACAAACAAACATGAAATAACTTTATTCTCTCTCAGACTGATGGTAAAATTATATGAAACATGTATAATTCTTCCTCAATAATATAAATGTGTCCTCTTTTAAGGAAACTCATTTACATGTGAAAACTTGAATTTGCAAAATGGATACTAGATAATATATTTCAAAAAGAAAATGCATATATATATATATATATATATATATATATATATATATTT